GACTTGAGCTATGCGCAGCTGTATTACTTGCAAGATTAGCTCATAGAGTTCTAAATTCCCTTAGAATTAAAATCGATTCTTTTCACTATTGGACCGATTCAACAATCGTATTATCTTGGATAGCATTGCAACCTAGTACTTTAAATACGTTTGTCGCAAACAGAATATCTGAAATTCAGACTTTGACTGAGATTAATCAGTGGTCACATGTCCCATCAGCTGATAATCCAGCCGATATTATTTCTAGAGGTTTAGAACCTATTAAATTAGAAAATTGTGAGCTCTGGTGGTCAGGGCCATTTTTCCTTAAACAAGGCGAAGAGTATTGGCCTCCAAAAGTAAATCCTTCTTCTGATCTTCCCGAGGTGAAACAGCAAAAATATACGTTTGTTACTCATAAAAATATCCTTTCAGATGAGTTGGATTTATGTGAGAAATTTTCTTCATATACAAAATTGCTCAGAGTCACTGCTTACTGTTTAAGATTTATAAGGCTTTTAAAACAAAAGGGGAATAAATCTCATTTTACTAACTTCATATGTAAAGATGAACTACAAGATGCTAGGATTGTCATTAGCAAAATCGTTCAGAGGCATTACTTTTCTGATGAAATCAAACATTTACAAAATGTAAAGCGTGTATCTCTGAAAAGTCCCCTCTTAAGATTAAACCCATTTCTCGACGAAAAAGGTTTGATTCGAGTGGGAGGCCGTTTGAATCATTGTAATTTATCATATGACGTTAAACATCCTATATTGTTGCCCAGTAATTCTTATTTTTCTAAACTTATTATTCTTTATGAGCATCATAGACATCTTCATGCAGGCGCTCAAGCTACCTTGGCAGCTGTACGTTTACGGTTTTGGATAATCAATGGTCGTAATACAGTGCAGAAAGTCTTACGTAAATGCGTTACCTGTTTCAAGGTCATGCCAAAAGTTGCTCTAAATCAAATGGGTGATCTTCCTAAATCAAGGATTACTCCCGAAAGACCTTTCCGTGTCACCGGAATGGACTTTGCAGGCCCTTTCTTGGTTAAGGATGGTAAGGCAAAAAATAGGACATTAGTAAAATGCTACCTTTGTTTATTCGTGTGCTTCACGACTAAAGCAGTTCATTTTGAGTTGGCGGTAGATCTTTCAACAGAAGCATTCTTAAATTGCTTTAAAAGATTCATTTCACGAAGGGGTATGTGTACTGATTTGTATTCAGATAATGGCACTAATTTTGTGGGTGCAGCAGCTGACTTGAAATTAACTTTAAACAAAATAAAGCGAGACTCAGTATTTTTGGAATACTTATCCAACCATGAGATAAAATGGCATTTTTCTCCTCCATATGGCCCAAACTTTGGTGGTTTGTGGGAGTCTTGCGTCAAGTCCGCAAAACACCATATGAAGAGAATAATCGGCAATAGTCATGTAACTTATGAATCACTTTTAACTGTTTTTATACAAATAGAGGCTGTATTGAATTCAAGACCTCTAATGCCTTTATCTAACGATCCTAATGATCTATATGCTCTTACACCTTCGCATTTTTTAATTGGTGAATCTTTAACTTCATTACCTCAAGAAGATGTTAGGTATATAGCTGAAAATCGCCTTAAACATTTCAAACACTTACAACAGCAAGTGCAGCACTTTTGGCAGCGTTGGTCGAAGCAGTATATCACGACACTACAAGAACGTTCAAAATGGCATACTCGATCAGCGAATATAGAAGTAGGCGCTCTTGTGTTAGTAAAGGATGACAATGCACCTCCGTTATGTTGGAACTTAGGTCGCATTGTTGAAGTGATACCTGGCGACGACAACATAGTGCGCGTTGTGTGCGTCAAAACAAAACATGGTGTCTTAAAACGACCAATAGCAAAGATATGTGCACTACCATTTAGCGATAGTTAAGATTTCTTATTTAAAAGGCATTGTTTAAATTAAATTTTTTCATACTGTTCTATGTATCTTTTAATGTTAAGATATGTAAGAAGTTGTCTTAATTTGTTATAAATATTTTTATTTTTTTTGAAAGTTAGTACTTTCAAGGGGGGCGGTATGTCCAGTACTTCATTAGTACTTATTTATTTTATATTTTTTATCGTTTTTGGATGTGTTAGATAGGCAACTAATGATACACCTTGTAATGTATTAGTATTATTAATCTGTAGCTCAGGTTAAGAAAAGCTGTCATTCTTATCATTCTGATCATCTCTATCATTGATTTCACACAGTTTGTTAATTTTAATCATCAATTTCAAATAATACAACAAATAATTATCATAATTACCTATGTGTAATTTTTTTTTACCAATTAAAGTTTTTACAAGCTATCGAAGAGTTTAAATCAAAACCAAGACCAGCAATCAACAGTAGGTAACTCCGAAAAGCCGGGGTTCGTACACTACCCCTCAGCAAGATCATTTTTTACAATTAAATGCTCGACGCCGACCGACTCTTACAGCACCAGAGCTTAGTTTAATTCTCCAGGAAACACATAATGTAACCGTTAGTCCTGACACTGTTCGCAATAGATTAAGAGAGGTCAATTTAAGAAGCAGTCGCCCCTGGAGAGCTCAACCCTTAACGAGAGGAAATCGAGAGGTACGACATTTGTGGGCTCAAGATCATGTTCAGTGGTCGAATGAACAATGGGCCATAGTTTTCTTCACGGATGAGTCACGCTTTGGAATTCATCCGGATTCGAGAAGGCTTAGGGTATGGAGAGAACCAGGAAATCTTATTCGGTTGGATCATGTTCAGGAAGTGCACCCTTATCAAGGTGGAACAGTTATGGTCTGGGGAGGAGTCCAGTTAGGCCGAAAAACCGATCTCATTTTTCTTGAAAGGTTTCTAACAGGAATCACATATCGTGATTTAATTCTTGAGCCTGTCGAGTTACCATATGCCAATGATTTTGGGAGAAACTTCATGCTCATGCATGACAATGCACGGCCTCATACAGCCAGAGTGGTAAGTGAGTTTATCAATGCGCTCATCAATTAAACATCTTACCCTGGCCGGCACAATGTTCTGACCTCAACCCCATCGAGCACGTATGGGACGCGGTCCAAAGAAGAATTTTGAGAATGGGTATGCCTCGTGAAACTCGTAGGGATCTGGTTCGGGCCGTGAATGCAGCGTGGCAGGCTGTACCTCAAGAAGAGATCGACAATCTGATCAGGAGCATGGAGAGACGATGTAGGGCTGTAATGAACAGTAGAGGAGGCCATATCCTTTATTAAGTAAAAATGGTTTTATCTTTTTTTTTAGTTCACAGTTTAGAATAAAAAAAAATGTGTGTATTTTTTTGAGTTCAATAAAAATCAAGGTAAATTCGGTAAATTTCGCATTTTCATTTCCAATACGCCCTGTAAACTATTTGTTTATTTTAATTTTATTATATCAGAAATGCAAATAATAAAATTACTGACGATGGCGGGATACAATTGTAATATCCCTAGACTTTTCCGGTGTGTGTATATAAACAACTATTATTTACATCAACAAAACTCAAGGGACACAAAGGGCCATTACTACCGCTTTCCCGTTCAAAATATTCTTATAAAGCTGTGATGAGTTTTTTGCAGCGCCTATTAAGCTATCTTGTACCATTTCGTTTAGAGCTTCTAAAAAGAACAATGTTCGACAGAAAGGTCTGCTAGTAAATATTTTTAAGCTTAAAGTATCACAACAACAAAAAAAACGAATGACGATGACAGGAAATAAACAAATAAATGTGGCAACTTGACATTTTTTACAGCAGAGCTACCACCTGAATTCCCAGCGGGAAATTTAAATTTCAGTTAGTCAGCCCGGCGCCGAATATATCCAGGTTGGCAACAACGAATTTAAAAATCGTGCCCTCGATTACGCAACTAAAAGTTTAATTGGTATCGCTTATATAAGAAATATATAATATATGTATAATATAATAATTCTGTTGGCATAAAACATTTATTTTAGTGCATCAATATATCGGCCCGATCATTCCAAACAGGTGGCCTGTACTTTAATGTGTACGCGATAAAGATAAAGTTATAAATTACTTTATAACTAGCTGAGAGACAGAGGCAAAAAAATTAAATGCGGTATTGCCGGTAGCAAAATGAATATAATTAGTTGATATATCTACTAATAGTCTAACACTTGCTACAAGACCGATTAAAAAGCCTTCTAATTGTATTTTAAATTTTAATTGGAAAACTCGGCAGTACCATATAGCAGAAATGGATAATTTAAAATGACCAGGTCTGTAATAATACAACAGAATGACTGGACGTTCCTATCATAAAATCAAAAGACAGTACTTGGTACTTAGTACTAAGACAGTTTAGTTTAGGTTTATACTGGTGTATACTGTTCACAAAATACTGGTTGAACGTGACGCACAATTCAGCAAGATGCTCGATTCCTTTGAATAAAATTATTGAGTCTGATTTTATTCATGCATCATAAGGCGGAATCGACATCAGTAGCGTATCTGGCATTTTTCTTGTTAAATAATTATTATATATTATAATATATAATAATATATAATATATTATAACTTATCTATATTAGAAATATATTGTCAAGGTGTGTGTGGCGACATCTGTCGGAGAAGTATTTTTTTACATCTAAGCGTGTATTGCTGGTTGAGATTTCATCTTTAATACAGGACATTGTTTGAAGCGCCATCTCTTAGACTCAAGTAGATATAGATTAGATCTTGTAAAAATTTTACTGGAACCGGAAAGAACGCTACAGATAATTTTCGAACGTTCGAGAAGCAACCACTAGGAGCTATATAAGCGCAACCGCGCTCAGCAGTTTAAAATACGGTTAGATTAGGTTAGGTTCGTTAAGTATTTTATCGTGAGTTTAAATTTGTGGACTCACGGAATCCGTAACAATATATTTTTAACAATTTTGATAACATTTATTAACAACGTAAAACAAAACCAAGAAATGATTGAGTCTACCCTACATTATATTTTTACACGTTATAAATAAAATAGTTACCTTATAAGTGGCTGATTTTAAATTTACTGAACGTCCTTTGCTTGTCAGCGTACACTTTAAACGTATAAAAAACGATTTTGGAGTTTCACCGTCCTCCATGGTTTTTGCAGACAAAATATCTCTAATTTCGTCGTGGTCGCATGGATGACTGTATTCGAACACGTTTTGTCCCATAAGATCAACCTAAAATTGTAAACACAAAAGATATAATTATTGCATATAAAAACAAGAAAAATACAGATTACAATTTATTTACGACCAGCCTGCCGACTTACGATCACTTGTATAGACATCGTTACCAATGAGGTTCTTTGTAGACAACTCCAGGTTTTTATGTTGTGCCATTTATAATATAACCATAATTTATAATATAACCATTTTAGGTTGCGCTGCTTGGACCACATATGTTCGAAGTTTTTGAAAGAAGGCCTAGTGCAACTTAACAAATAACAAAGAAAATAAAGTCCTACTACTCTGGGTGCGAGCCCTCCAAGGGATAGAAGGCAATGAAAAAGCAAACGACCTAGCTAGAAAAGGAGCGAACATTCCCCCACTAACTGGACCAGAACCGTTCTGCTTGCCAAGTGGAAATCGACTTAAAAACGGAACTCAAGAGCCTGGGCGTTTATCCGTAACCTGGAATGGGAATCCTCCAACGGTCTAAGACACTCCAAATTTCTCAGAACCTACGACTGAGAAAAATCAAAGATTTTTCTAGGTTTAAGTAAGAACAATCTTCGGATTGTTACGGGTTTTATAACAGGAACTAACTCAACGAACTCCTCAGTAGATTGAAGCTAAAGGTGCGTACTCACTAGAGCATTTTGGTCCGAATGAACCAAGCAAGCCGAGCGCGCACGAACGAACTCAATAAGGAAAAGATCGCGATGTTCAGAGTGCTTGTTGCGTTCGCTGTGTTCCCACGTTCAGTTGTATTTAATTTTTATTCGAGCTTTGATATACTCTACTATACTAGTTTACTCAATGTGTTTGATATTCGTAGTTTGGTGATTTCATTAATTTTATATGCTTACCTGAGTTAGAACACAAATTAGCATCATTAGTGTACCCGAAAATACAATGGTTCAGTCGCTGCAAATAATTAAAAATTTGACACATGCCAAAATTTTCCATGTAAATAAAAAACAAGTTGTAAAGCCTGTTTTTTTTTAAATAAAAATTTGACATTTTTCACGTGATTGCTTCTTTACAGCTAGGTTAGAAATCATGTTAGACATTTGCCAAATCTTTCCATTAAAAAAACAAGCTTTATTGTTATATTCGTTATAATTTGCGTAAATGTATCTTTTTCCGTTCCAATAGATTTTTGTCCTTTCGCCTTCTCCCTTCTGAAACTTGCCAGAACACTTTCAATTTTGTTCTTAGTATAATCCATCCTTTGGATTCCAAAGCAGTGGATATTGTTCATAAATGTCTATTAACTGAAGGCACTTTTCTCTATTCCACTCCATTTCGTTTGAGCAAAGAAAAATCAAAACAATGAAAATTTTTAGCCGCGAATGCTCCGAAATGGACGAACACCATGGACGCAACGAACCTCCGTACTCACTGAACAACGCATCCCCTTTGAGCAAAATGCATGTACCGACAAACCGGCTGTTTGCTTCGTTCGAAGCAAAATGCTCTAGTGAGTACGCACCTTAAGAAACAACGGCGAATGGAGTTTGTGCGGGGAAAATGGGGAAACACCAGAAAACCTCATCGCTGAGTGCACCGAAATGACAACCATTTGTGCCATAAATTTGGGTACGACTGATATCGGAGATGGAGAAATAACCTCTGTAAAACCGTATTAGATACTGACTTTTGTCAAAGCCCTGAGACTGTATGATGAGTTATAACCCAAGAAAAAAATCCCCTCCTACATATACAGATCTACATTCTACATCTGACAAATTAATAAAATATACTCTCACCTGTGATATGCCCAAGTAATCGCTAACGTTTTCCGAAAGATAGACAAAGTCCCCTTCTGAAGACAAGACTAGCACGAATCCTTCCAGAGATTTGAGAAAAACAGATTCGTCTTTTACTGTTTGCATTAGTTTGTCTTTCACCGGTAGTACCGTCACTAAAAACATAAAATAGCAATTAATAAAAATCACACACTAAAATACACTACTCAAAACAATAATTACCTCATATTTGAATAAAAGTTATTATTACATATTTCTAAATGAAGCATGCATTTTTCTGCCTTTCTCTTATGAGTTTTTTTTAGGATAATTAGGGTACACACTGACATGTAATTTTTAGTTAGCCGACTATTTAGTTGCAAAAGTGAAAACAATACATTTTTATGGAGCCGATCGGCACAATATTTGATTGCATTGCGTAGCCTTATGCCATACGCTGACAGGCAATTTTTAATCGGCTGACTATTTAGTTGCATCTCGAGTTACATATTTGTAATATTGGTTACAAAAAATATGCAACTAAATAGTCAGTCCTTATGGAGCCGCGCTCACATGCAATCGAATAGTCGGCCGATCAGCTCCATTAGTATGTATTGTTCTTTTGCAACTAAACAGTTGCAAAATTGCTTTACAGCCATGCTAATAATATACACATTCCTGTAAAAACAGAAAAATATTCAGTTTAATTTGTTCATAAGCTTTATAGACTAAAATGAGTTGGCTTACTAATCTTCAATGTTTCTTAATGACTTAAACAACGTTTTGGCTTGACAAAGTCAACAACCTAGACAGTGAATATGATATATGCACGTCCTAACTCATTTAGTAATTTTCCTTTGAAAATAGGCAGCTGGGATATTTGTTATGTCTAAATATATGTAATATTTTGAAAGATGTATGTTTGCCTCAGATTTGATGAATGTTTAAGGCCAGTCATTAGACTATCAAATTTCTTTGTCAAAGATCTTTTATAAAAGATATTTGATGATTGAATTTGACAATGTTAATACACAATACTTTATAAAATCACACATGTTACACTGTCAAATTCTTTGACAGAATAAAATATTTGACAAAAAAATTTGGTAATGTAATACTGGCCTAGGAAAGTAGCAGTAAAAAAATATTACTAAGAAAGTAAAATGTCTTGAGAATACATCGTTCAGATCAGAAAAAAAAACATTTCTATATGAACTGAAAATCATGGTAATTAATAGTTCATATAATAACCATAAAGTATACAGGGTATGTACATTATTTGGCCAATGAATCTGAAATAGAAAGAAACCGGACAAAAAAGCGATATTACGATTAACTATAAAAAAATCCAAATTCCTCGACATGGCTTATAAATGTAATGTAATATAAAGTAATATTTATAGTTCATGTCCAGCATCTTTATTAGTTATACAGGGTTGTTCACCACATACGACAGGGAGTATAGTAGCTAAACGATTAGATTTTTACAAATTGTAAGTTTTGAGTTCGTTGAAGGACTATTAGAGGTACAATTTAAAAATAATTTTACAAGATAGTGTCCCAAAGAAGTAAAAAAATATTATTGTATTTTTTTAAATGGAACACCCTGTATATTATTCTATTTTTACATTCTACGGTTGAAATAAAGGTAAATTTGATTAAGGTTTATCACACTTCCTTATCGTTTTTGAATTTTTTTTCAAATGTTTCTAAATAAATCTGGATTTGACTGAGAAATCAATACAATAATAAGTTATCAAAATGAACACCTCTGTTGTAATAAATAAGCACTTCTCAAAAAATTAAATAAAATTTACAAGGTGTTACTTTTTACCACACTGTCTAACACACATACAAAATTCAGTTTTTTAGTATTTGGAGCAATTATTATTAATCAATGTAAACGGTCAATTAATGTAGTTTGAATACTGGGTCATATTAATTGGTCCTCTTTCACAAAAAAATTTTTAATGAAATAAGCGAACTATATCAACAATATTAGTATCTGTAATTTTTGAAAATTTGTAAAAAAAATCTAAAATGTCAATATTCCATGTTCCAAATATTCCAAATTATAAGAAAATGCATTTTCTACGAAAACTTGAAGAAATAGGTAAAAAATGGTATAATACAATTTCATAGACAATTAAATTGTGCATCTGGTTCTCTTAAAATATACAGGGGGTTCCATTTAAATTAAATAACTTATTGCCGTTTAAAGCTAGTAATTATTTAATATAAATTTTTAGACACTCTGTATAAGGTAGTCGTATTGTTATTATTGCAAAACAATAGCTGATCAATAGATAAATTTCAGTAAATATTTAGTATTAAAAACTTCGATACCCTTGGAGAAATGAAGCCTTAAAATGTTTACTGCAATTTCATAAAATTGAAAATATTTCAAAAACGGTAAGCTTTAAGTGTGATAAACCTTAATGAAATTTACCTTTATTTCAATCTTAGAATCTAAAAATAGAGTAATATACAGGGTGTTCCATTTAAAAAAAACAACAATAATTTTTACTTATTTGGGACACTCTATATCTTGTAAAAATATTTTTAAATTGTAGCTCTAATAGTCCTTTAACGAACCCAAAACTTACAATTTGTAAAAAAACTATTTGTAATAAATCTAATCGTTTAGGCCGTTTATTGTGTATTTACAATTTCCGTACAATTTTGGTAACAAGAGAAAAAAGCCAGTGGCGTACATGTTTTTTTAGAAAAATATTATAGTGATAACCTATATGCACGTCCCTGATGAATCTGTAGACACTTTTTTAGTACTAAATATGTAACGCCTATAGTAACTTTTACCTTTAAAATTTCATTCGTCTAGCTAAAAGCACTTGGAAAAAAATTATAAATCGAAAAAAAATGAAGACTTTAACCTCCTGTAGCTACGAAATAAAGCAGACCCGGACCGATATTGATATAAGAAATATATCTTATTTTTACGTGAGGAATCTCCCCACGAGAGATGGCACATGCTTTTTGAAACACCCTGTATATCTAAATTTAGTCTGCTTGTTTTAATGCATCGATAACTGCTGCATTAAGATAAACACACGGTAAAGTAACATCTGCTAATGTACTTACTTAAATTAATCATGTCCCTAACTCTAAGATACGAGATAGCCAGTCGCATTACGGAGGCCTTGTCGAGATGAGATATTTGTTCCGTCGTGAGTGGTAGGGCATTGCCAAGATCCGTAAATATTTCCGTTTCTCTAGATCGTCTCGATCGTGCTGCATCTCGAGATTTCTCTTTGCGTTTCTCGTTATTCCTGAAACAAGACACAGACATTATAGATACTGTTTGCAAAAAAGACTAAACGTCTCATACAATGTTGTAGATTAAATTGTATGACTTAGATGAATGATAATGCAAAACTTGGGACGGAACTGCAAAAACGGTGAAAAGTATTTTTAAAAATTGTTAATCACCGTTGAATGTGTAATCAAACATTATCGTTATAACTTCAAATAGTATGTACTGATAAAATAATTATAAATAAAATTTTAATAAAATCATGTAATAATGCATAAATTAATGTTAATTAATGTATAGTCGGAATGTGGAGGAAGATATTATGATCTATATTTATTATATTAAATAAAATCATACAAAAATAATATAATAATAACATATAATACACTGATAATAAAATGCTATTTTATCTATAGAAAACATTCGACCAATGTATACTAACAGTTAGGACTTATGCATGCGAAACCTGGACAATTCTCCTGGACTCTCACTATACCTTCCGTTTCAATTCCATATCCGTTCTGGATTTTTGATTGTATTCACGCTATATGCTAAATATATGCTTCCGTTCCGTATCAGTTCCATACTTTTTATTGTATAATTTATATCATTACGAAAGTTTTATTTTAAAAATTTGTATGTTTTGAAAAAGATAATAGATTTAATTAGGTGAAAGAATAAAAATAAATATCAGCAAAATGTTCATAGAGCTGGTACAAATGTAAGAACTTGACAACGTTGTTTCCGATACGCTTCAGTCCGTCCGCCAAAAAAATGTATAGAAGGAAAGGATATGGAACGGAAGGGAAACGGAACGGATAGTGTGCATTGTCCCATTCATTTAGACATTATAAAGGTGCGTATTCATTATCCGAACGAACGAACGAACGAATGAAAGTGCGTTATATTTAGACGGGGACCGAACACATGCGGCCGTTCGTTCGTTCGTTCGCTCGACCATCCGTTTTGAGTCGGTACATCAAAGGCGTTCGCCAACAAATGCCTCCGGTCTTCTCGTGCGGTTCTATCGTACGGTCCCCGTCCATACCACTAGTGAACATTCGTTCGTTCGTTCGTGCGGATAATGAATACGCACCTTGAGGTGTCATTATCCGCACTGAACTCCGCAACGAACAAACGAACGAATGTTCGCTAGTGGTATGGACGGGGACCGTACGATAGAACCGCACGAGAAGACCGGAGGCATTTGTTGGCGAACGCCTTTGATGTACCGACTCGAAACGGATGGTCGAGCGAACGAACGAACGAACGAACGGCCGCATGCGTTCGGTCCCCGTCTAAATATACCGCACTTTCATTCGTTCGTTCGTTCGTTCGGATAATGAATACGCACCTTTAAGGAAACTGCAGGTCGCACAACGCCCGACGCCGACGGAACTATGATATTAGGAGATTAGCAGGTATAAAGGATGATTCACAGTTAGTGGCGTGCATTACATATAAGCAAAAAAGCATTGCCTACCCTTCCATTTATTCAAGAGAGACGCAAAATAAAAATATATTTATCTGATCAATTTTCATTATATATCTAAATACAAGTCCTACAATGCGACCTACATTGTTTTATTTTTCTAAATAGTAAGTTAGTATTGTGTTTATTACGGTTACAAAGCCGGAAACATCATACAAAATAAACGCCACCTGTTCAACGTCTTATTATTACCTAAAAAACGCATCCCATTATTCGAAATCGAACGCACGGCCGCAACTTAACATTACATGAATATGGACAAGCAAAAGCAGTGCGTTACCGCAGCACGGATGCACTCGATGTCTCTATGCCGCCGATGTGGTATTGCCAGTTTATTATTATCCGAATTATTACAGAACTATGTAAGAAACAGTCCATGTTATTTTATACGATCAATTTTAAATAACTGTGTTTTAGAAAGATTTGTATTATGCAGCAAATTAGAAATTTGCTTGTCTGTCATCTGTATTTGTTTCCAAATGATTTCATTTATTATTTTATTTGACTGTAAAATCATTTTGGCACATAAAATCTATTAGGCAGTGGCAATTGGCAATCTGGCAATATTGTGTACGGTTATTGTTTTAGCTAATTCGCCAGGAGACGACACTAAAACTCACGATACCCTAGACAAGGAAAGAGAGTCTCTCTTTCCTTCTTGAAGGACAAAATACTCGGAAGCTGTACGTCAAACTCAGCTGAACTTTACCGCTGATGGACTTTGTAAACAACGGCACTTTTATAAATATCAGAGTAAATATGACCCTATTTAAAAACAAAGTTAAAAACGCATCAGCATTCCTGTATTTTTAAATCATACAAAAAATATTAAAAGCACTTTAAAGATTTGCAATTTGTGAATGTGTTTTGGGGATCCAGCGATTCATAGAACTTTGATAATTAATATTATAAACTGCCAGTCTATTGACTGGATTATTTTTAATTTGTGTTGTGGTTCAATAAAAATCTACATATATAAAATGCTAATGTTTATCTGTGTCGTCTCTACTGAAGTAACGACTTGCTCTAGAAAGTTGCTTTTTTTTACTAAAAGACAGTTAATTGGCTGTTCTAAAAACTGTCGTCGCCGGATTTTTTAGTATCATATAAGTAAATTTTATATACGTACATTGTACATATATTATGTAATACATACGTTTTTTTAGTTTTGTCATATTTTTCATTCTGTTGCCTCCCTACTGTAAATGGTACTGCACGCCACTGTTCACAGTACACCGGACCGTGCCCGAGCCGGGCACGTTCCGTGAAATAGACACCGAGCCACGTCCGATCCTTCTGTATATGCAACACCGAGTTGATAACGGGGTTCGTATTAGTTCCGAGTATATTAGAAAACACAGCCCCATAGACACACGAAGATTTAATACGAACAATGCCAAAGTTCTCGCAGTTGGAATTGGTACCAATTGAAGTTGATGAATAAAGAACAACACCTGCAAGGGAAACACCTGCTCAAAGGAAAAGATGAAAGATATATCTTGTTCATTACATCCTTTCATTGTTCAGTTTTACGCATACCCTGTCGTCAAATACTGCTGTAAGATTCACTAATACCTACTACAGACATGATGAAAGGTGTACTTTGTTTATATCATGACTGCAGATTGCAGTCGGGGCAGCAGGAAAAGTACATTCATGCTTTCCGCAACGTGGCGGGAACGGAGCGGATCCGGGAAAAAAATGTACGCTGACATTTCTGGGACGGGCCACTGACGAGTTACGGCGAAGCTCGGATCGTGCTCGGCCTGGCATGAATGTATATGTGTAAAGAACACTTGACAATGTTTGGCCGTGTCTTCACCGACGCACGGCTCGGACCCGTTACGGTATAGCGTGAAGCATCCTTAATTTGGGCCCATCACATAGCTAACAACAGACAATAATAACCAAAGAGATTGTTGAATAAGCTGAGAATGATGATGATGATGAATATTGAATAATATACTGATCAGCTCTAAAAACCGACACCTTGAACATGTTGGGTTGCCAACTTTCAAAATTAAAAATAGAGGACTCGAGTGTAAAAAAAGAGGACAGACAAAAAAATTTTTAAACCTTATTCAAATGTTAAGAGTTTGGTTTGGTTTGGTTAGGTTACATAACTTTTGGGTAACCAAAGTTATGTAAACGTTAAACGGATAATGGTCTTTTTAACTTTTTATATATAACGCATCCACCAATATTTCTTGTACGTAAATAATTCTTTTCTGAATGAAGTAGTGGAGCTAGGAAGACATGCTGTTGCCAGATTAGCAATTTTATTAAACATTGTTGCGATAGACGATCATTCTATAGATTTTGAGTTTGGTGTGCAAAAAAGAGGACTTTTCGATGCGCCAGAGAAAAGAGTGAAAATAAGAGACGATCAAAAATAGGACTGTCCTCTGAAATAGAAGACGGTTGGCAACCCTACTTAATATACACTAAGTTACCTTTTCTACGTTAGATTTTTTACACTTACATAACCAATAGACCTAATATGTTTATCAAAATACAATAAAATTTAATTCTGGTAATCATAGCACAATCTTAGAAATATCTATAATTCTGCTGTATATATATCGCCCTATCAAGGATATCTAGGACAATAAATTACGGAAGATGAATTATCAATTTATCTGCTAAAAATATACAGTATGTCCCTGGATGGTCTTCACAATTGGAAAAACTTTTTTATTATTGACATTTTGAGAAAAATGCATTCTTCATAAAATTTTTTGCTTGCGCTAAAATGGTTAATCCCGTTTATATTTTTCCAAATTTCCATACCGTTTTAGAGAGAATTTAAAACATGGTGAAAACATAGTTGAAGTCAAAAAGTGTAAAAATCAAAAGGTGTTTCTATGATAAAATATCATTTGGATTTCATTCTTTGGCATATTGTTATTAATAGAATTTTAATTAACGTCATATTTTTGCAGTTTTAAAATGTTAAAGAAGTACACAATTTATTTAGTCCATTTCTATGGAAAGAGTGATAGTAGTTATCCGAAAATGTGATACTTTAACAACACTAAAAAATATGACGTCAATGGAAATGAATACAACCCTCTATCAAAGAATAAAATCTGAGATATTACCATAAAAACGACTTTTGATTTTTAGGACTTCAAAAAAATCAACTCTTATTTTCACGTTTTTTTTTAATTTTCTCTAAAACGGTATGCAAAATAAACTGTTAATTATAAGTTACAACAAATAATGCATCCGTAAAAATATCGGAAATGTGCAAATAGACGAATATCAAATTCGTTTCTATCAACTGACAGTACTGACACTGACAGTCATCATGACAATGAAGAGGTCAGTAATATTAACTTAGAGTGTTAATTACGGTATTCTTTGGTTTGAAAAGTTCTCTTATTTTTGAATTTATTTAGGTTCAATATAAAAATACCGTATGATCGAGAAAAAACGACGTCAAAGACGGCTGGGGAATCCATGAGAATTTTGGCGAGTTCAATCTCTAGATGTCATTTTCGAAAAATTGACATAAAACTTGT